GTGAAGATACAGCAAGAAGGTTACACACCAAAGATATTGTGTAAGCATTTTTTTCAGAATTTTTTATTAAGTATGTGCTCTTGATTGTACAAGACATGATCTGTTTGTGTAGGCTCTCTCTTTTTGTGTTGAAATATGGCATTTTGTGTTTCAAGGTGAGGGTCAGCCTGGCATTACTACCATCACATACCAGCAATTACACAAGCGCGTTGGCATGTATGCCAGGGCGCTGAAAGGCTGTGGTGTAAAGTGCAGCGATCGCGTCGTTGGTTACATGCCCAACTGCCCCCAGACTGTTGAGTCCATGTTAGGCACCGCTGCCATTGGCGCAACTTGGAGTTCAACCTCACCTGACTTTGGGGTTACAGTAAGTATAAGAGTTTTTTTTTCAGGTCTCTCTTTTTATTGATTTCTCTTCCTTGTCTTCATTGCTGCTTTTGTGTGCTGTGTAGTACAGTCGTAGCATTCTCATCTAGCAATCTTTCTGACCCCCAAACAAATCCCATGTCAGCAGTGGATGGTAACCCCGGCCATTCCTTCCACACAGCAAAATAGATAAACAGCAAAGAATATTTATTGTAACCAAAGGCATTAAACTTTTTCTTTCGTTCTTTCTCTCTATCTCCCCCTATCTTATCCTCCTCTTTTCCCAGCTGTCTCTCACCACTTCCTCCCTTTTCTCTTCTTCCATATCTTTCCCTCTCCAATCCCCCAGTGTCTCACCAAGTTTGCATCTCCCTCTCCCCCCAGGGCGTGTTGGAAAGGTTTACACAGATCGAACCAAGTGTCCTTTTCACGGTGGAAGCAGTCGTCTACAATGGGAAGATCCACGATCACACTGCCAAGGTCAAGAAAGTTGTTGCAGGTCTGAAGCACTTGAAGAAGGTTGTCATTGTGCCATTCGTGCATAAGAAACAGGACATTGACATTTCCGACATCCCTAATAGGTATGAGGACTTTTGAAGGAAAGAAGTGAAAATTGATACAGATTAAATTCTCTCTCTCTCTCTCTCTCTCTCTCTCTCTCTCTCTCTCTCTCTCTCTCTCTCTCTCTCTCTCTCTCTCTCTCTCTCTCTCTCTTACTTTATGTATTTGTTTATGTTCTTTGAACATATATTAGGTATTTGTTTATGTTTCAAGGAAAGAAGAGGAAAATGATACAGATTAAATGAGGTAAAGGATTGATTGAAATTGATGTTTAGATAAAAAGACAGTAATTTCATGTAGGTTTCACACTTTGTATTGGCAGTACCATTGGTTGCTCACTTTGAAAATGTGTGCTCCTCTGTGGTTTAGATATATCAGGTATAATTGTCTACTGGAAGTTATAGTAAAAAGAGAAGTCATACGAGAAGTATCAATTATTCATCTGATCTTTTATATGTCATGTATATAGTGTTAATGATTTCAAATATATAGTGTTCTTTCAGTATATTCCTAAAGAGCTTCACGATTAAAGTTATCCATTCTATATATTCATGGCCAACTTTATATTTGAAATTACCAGCCTAGATTTTTCACCTTCAGATTTCAGGTTCATCAATATTGTTGCACAATATCCTTAGATGCATTCAGATTTTTCAGTATTCTCGTGGTACATTTCTTTGTCATTTAAGACTAAGAATTATACTTCCATTATTTCCCCAAACAAAATTGAACTCAAAATAATTCTAATTCCATCAAGTTTAAGCTTATTCTTGCAGTACCTTCCTTAACTGCTTCATATTTAAAATCATCTAGATGCCATCAGTTTTAAAACAGTCTTGACACTAACTTCAAACTCAGGAATTACCATGCTGTATACTGCCAAGATAACTACAAATTAAATTCTACTCCTGCAGTATTTTCCTTGACGACTTCCTGGCCGAGTGGGACACAGGTGAAGCCGTAGAGTTTGAGCAGCTATCTTTCCACCACCCACAGTTCATCATGTTCTCATCTGGAACAACTGGCATCCCCAAGTGCATGGTTCACTCAGCAGGGGTGAGTGTGTATTGGGGAAAAAGTTCACAGAGTGTGTTATAGAAAATTTACTGTATGGAATTTTTTGTTTTATAGTGATTGACATTTAGTTAGATGGAAGGCTATATATCACAGGATGTTACCCTTGAACCTTGCCCCAGAAAAAAAAATCTCTATGTGAAGAAGATAAGTAGCTGAGAAAGAAGGATTTTGAACATGATGATGCAGATAATTGCAGAAGGAAGAGGTTGCCTTTGAGCAGTTTTTGGTCTTGTTATTTACTTTATAATAGGGTTAATATAGTGATGTTTAGGATTGATAATATTTATGACTATAAGCAATATAGTTTTCGTTAGAATTTTTGTTTATTATTATTATTATTATTGTTATTATAATGATGATAATGATTATTATTATTTACATACTTGATTGATTTTTTTTAATTCCTTGTTTATTGTCAGAACCTTTCTGCTTTATCATGGAAGCATCTTGTCCCCTGATATCCTGGTCACTTTAATAACCTTACAAAACCTGTTTCAGGGAACACTCATCCAAATAGCCAAGGAACACATTCTGCATTGTGATCTTACAAGGGAAGATGTCCTTACCTACTATACCACAGTGAGTGCCTTTTATAAATTGTGTTCCAGTAGCAAAAGGGAACTGCTGTAACTCTGAATGGAAAGGGTCAAGGGAACTGCACAGATGTGGTTGCATTGTCAAAGAACTTTCAGAGAAGCATGATTTAAAGATTTTCAATGTTTTGCAGACGGGTTGGATGATGTGGAATTGGCTTGTGGTTGGGCTTTTCACGGGCTGTTCTCTCTTCCTCTACGATGGGTCTCCACTTCTGCCCACGCCTTCCATCATGTGGGACCTCGTCGACAAGCTTGGTGAGTTTGGCCGTTGGTTGTTAAGTACAAGTGTTGTGGTCTCTGAAAACAAGGAATATTAAAAGTTCATGTTATCTTGGATGATATTACTAGCTCAGAGGTTTTCATCTAATTCTTTTTGTTATTCATTCTGGTTGTCATTTTTATTTGATAGGGAGGATACGATACAAGAAAAATGTGGATACTACCTCTCAGTAACAGCAGTCAGACTGAAACTGCATTACTCTTCTTTCCCCTTTTCCCAGGTATCACTGTCCTAGGCACAGGTGCTAAGTGGCTGGCCGTGCTGGAGGACAGGGGAGTAAAGCCTCGGGAGACCCACGACCTGTCTTCCCTGAGAGCCATTCTCTCAACTGGATCTCCGCTTGCATGCCACTCCTTCAGATATGTCTATCGGGACATTAAGGAAGACGTGATGCTGGGCTCCATCACGGGTGAGTTTTGGTGTTGAGGGCACTGGGATTCTCTCTCTCTCTCTCTCTCTCTCTCTCTCTCTCTCTCTCTCTCTCTCTCTCTCTCTCTCTCTCTCTCTCTCTCTCTCCTCTCTCTCTCTCTCTCTCTCTCTCTCTCTCTCCTCTCTCCCTCTTCTCTCTCCCTCTCCATCTCCCTCCTCCTCTCCTCTTTCCCTCTCCCTCCCTTTCCCTCTCCTCCCTTTCCTCTCCTCCTCCCTTCCCTGCCTCCCCCTCCTTCCCTCCCTCGTTCCCTCTCCCTCCCCCTCCCTCTCCCTCCCTTTCCCTCTCCTCCCTTTCCCTCTCCCTCTCCCTCCCTTCCCTCTCCCTCCCTTTCCCTCTTCCCTCCCTCCCTCTCTCTCTCCCTCTCCCTCCTCTCCCTCTCCCTCTCCCTCTCCCTCTCCCTCTCCTCTCTCCCTCCCTCTCCTCTCCCTCTCCCTCTCCCTCTCCCTCTCCCTCTCCCTCTCTCTCTCTCTCTCTCTCTCTCTCTCTCTCTCTCTCTCTCTCTCTCTCTCTCTCTCTCTCTCTCTCTCTCTCTCTCTCTCTCTCTCTCTCTCTCTCTCTCTCTCTCTCTCTCTCTCTCTCTCTCTCTCTCTCTCTCTCTCTATTGGGAGGAGGGCAAGATAGATACCCAGTACTTAGAAGGCAACAAATAGAGATAAGGGAAGAGTCAAAGAGACAGAGAGATTGAGTAAGTCAGTGAGTGAGAGCAAATATGGAAGCAAGTGAGATAATTTATGAAGAAGGAAAAGGGAGACAGAGAGGAAAATTGAGACCAGAATTATGAACAGACTTGTGATCAAATCTAAAAAGAGATACAAAAGAGAATAGATAACTTCATATAATTCTTATAGTGATGCAATGGAGACACATTCCTTATGTTTCCCGCACCTTTTCTGCCAGACCAAAACTCCCCCTATCCCCCCAATGCCTCACAACCCTTTTGACTGTTTCAGGAGGAACTGACATCATATCCTGCTTCATGGGCAGCAACCCCACCTTGCCTGTGCATGAGGGTGAGATCCAGTCCAGGAACCTAGGCATGGCAGTTGAGGCTTGGAACGAGGAGGGGCAGCCAGTGTGTGACACAAGTGCCGAGCTGGTGTGCACAAAGCCTTTCCCCTCCATGCCCACACACTTCTGGAATGATGATGGCGAGATCAAGTACACCAAGGCTTACTTTGCAAAGTATGGCATTATAGCATTATTGTACTAAGGATCAGCCTATTTTTTTATAGTGTCTTTCTTTCTTTTACTTTTTTATTATCTTTTAGTCTCTTTTTTTTTTAGTTACTACTTATTTTTTATGATTTATTATTTTAAGTGTTTACAATATTTAGAAATAGGAACATTTCAGATGTGTAGTCATTTGTAAGAAAACTACAAATCTGGATATTGGGATTTGCAGTAGCACCTAAATGACGAGTGTTTTGAGTGATTTAATAGGTAGTGATCCAAAGTTAGATCATTACCAAGGAAAACAGCTATGCAGATTGTAAGTTCAAGTGCCTTCACCACCAAAGTTACAATTTTGTGGGTAACAAACAACAAATCATGGACGTCAGGTGGTTCATCAACTCATGTCTGATCTACACATACTCGGCAATCTTGCTGAAGTATGTATTTCTGACAAAGATATAATCAAACCTGGTCAAACACATCCCTTGCAATGTCAAGATATTCATTTTCATTGATACCTTTTCTCGACGCTACCATTGCTCGAACCACCTGTATCTGAAATACATACCAGTACTTGCAGTAGGGTGCATTTTTCAGATACGAGAGTCGCACCTGGTGCATCAGGCTTTGTCATTGCTAAGAGGTAAACTTGGAAGTGAAGCAGACTGCGTCATTATGTGTTAATTAGTCTCTTTATGGCCATACTCATTAGTCCAAAAAAAGAATTTAATGAGGGATATGACAGTGATGCAGACTTACTCTGCAGATAAAGAGGAGTAGGATTGTGAAAGAAAAATAAAAAACATTAACTAGGAACATAATGAGCGCTTATTCAGACTTATTTCTGGGGCTGTGTTAATCACGTCAGTCTTATGATCTTGGTTGTTGGTCATGGCTGCGTGGAGTTGTTTCTTCACTGAAAAATGAAGTGAAAAAAATAAAAGAAACAAGGTATCATGACACTTGAGATCACAGTAATAACAATAGGAAATATTCTTTTAACTGATATTATTATCATTATTTATTATTGTTATTATTATTATTATCATCATCATCATTATCATCATTTTTATTAGTATTATTGTTATGATGACAATGATGATGATTTTTTTTTTTTTTTCTTTTTGTATAATAAATCATTATTGTTATTGATATGATAAATTGCTATTATTATCATTATCATTATTACAGTTATTATTATTATTGTTATAATGAATTTTTTATTAGCATTATTATTATTATTGCAGGTACCCCCGCACGTGGACTCACGGCGACTTTGTTTCCATCAATTCCAAGACGGGCGGAATAACAATGCTGGGACGCAGTGATGGAACACTCAACCCAAATGGCGTCCGGTTTGGAAGTGCAGAGATTTACAACATTGGTATGTCCCCTTATTACCTTTTTGTTTTATATACTTATATCTGCATTTGTGTGTGTGTGTGTGTGTGTGTGTGTGTGTGTGTGTGTGTGTGTGTGTGTGTGTGTGGTGTGTGTGTTTTTTTTGGGGGTGCCATTTTGTATGCGTTCTATATTTCTTTCTCTCTCTCTCTCTCTCTCTCTCTCTCTCTCTCTCTCTCTCTCTCTCTCTCTCTCTCTCTCTCTCTCTCTCTCTCTCTCTCTCTCTCTCTCTCTCTCTCTCTCAAGAATTAATGAAACATTGTTCATTTTTGTAAAATCATATATATGTTGTTTTTTTCAGTTAATAGATAGATAATAAATAAGGTGAGCACTAAAGTGCAGTCCTTCAGGCATGTATACTTGATGTGTGACTTTGTCCGTTAAGTCAGTATAAGTTCAGCCAGATTGGGTAGATGCTCAGACATCTTTCCCTGGCTTTTTACAGGGCATGTATACTGCTCTGTAAATAAATGTTTTCAAATCAAATCAAATCTCTCTCTCTCTCTCTCTCTCTCTCTCTCTCTCTCTCTCTCTCTCTCTCTCTCTCTCTCTCTCTCTCTCTCTCTCTCTCTCTCTCTCTCTCTCTCTCTCTCTCTCTCTCTCTCTCTCTCTCTTTTAAGGGGATGGGAAATGAAGAGTTACAAACTTTAGTTGTAATCATTACAAGAAAATATTTTAGTAAATGAACAGAAATATTATGATTAGTGACAAATTGATGACATTCATTTCTCTTTTACATTGCAGTTGAGCAGTTTGACGAGATAAATGACAGCGTGTGTGTAGGCCAGAGGAATGCAGAGGGTGAGGAACGGGTCGTCCTCTTTTTGAAGATGCTCCCTCCTGCTGAACTAACACCAGAGTTCAAGCGCCGTCTTGCAGTCGCAATTCGAACACAGCTTTCGGCTAGGCACGTTCCCTCTGTGATCCTGCCCATTTCGGAAGTACCAGTAAGTTGAAGTTATAGAACTCACGTCAGCTGTCTGTAATCTCTCTTAAACTTCATGCAGTCTTATTTTTGGCCTCTTGAAAAAATTCTGCTCCAGTCAAGTTCCTTTGTCTCTTAGAGTTCCTTAAGACCAGCTGAGTATCATTTTAGAATGTTTTGAAGGATAACTTGAATATTTAGGATAGATAGTTTCTAGTTCCCCTGAGCTATTATAGAAAAAACACCCTTTCCAAAAGTAATAGAATAAATAATAAGCATGTTGATGCTGGGAGTGCTTGCATTCATGCAGTTGTATAAATTTTGTTTAAACACTCATGACCTTATCTATATACCCCATTCCTTGGATTTTATGGAAGGAAAGTTTGATTTATATTGCTATTATTGATGTTAATAATATAATAATAATGATGATAACAATTATAACATTTATTATAATGATGATAGTAGTAGTAATAGTAGTAATAGTAATAATAACAATGATATAAAAAGCTTAGTAGCAATTAATAGAAATTAAAACTTTTCTTCGGAAAATGCAGAGAATGGGGTAAGCAAATGAGATGAGGTAGATGACTTAGTACCTGTGAAGCTGTGTGTATACAGAATTGATAAAACAAAACTATGTCAGCCAATGCTCAGGACCAACTGGGTTTAGAGACATACTTTGCCTTATTATGGAAGTTTGTATTGCATATTTACATATATTTTATGACAGATATAGTAATTGATCCTGTAAGAGGGATAAAATAAGATGTAACATGCAGTGGATAAATTAAAATATAACATATAGTGGATAAACTTAAATGTAAGATATAGTGGATAATATCTTATAAAATGAAGTGGATAGAATAAAATATATGAAGGTAGCATGGAAATGAAGGTATTAGGTATAGATAAAATATACAACAAAAATGCAAGAGTCTGGCAGCCCATCACTTCTGTTACAGTACACAGTGAGCGGCAAGAAAGTGGAGGTTGCCGTGCGACAGATCATCCAAGGAGAGACTGTTGGAAATCGAGCTGCGCTTTCCAACCCAGATTCTCTTGACCTCTATGCCAACCTCCCTGAACTGCAAGGGTGGTGAGACCCTAGGGGTCAGATAGTGAGACTCCAGGGATGGATGGTGAGGCTGTAGGGGACGTATATTGAGACTCGGGGGAGGACGGTGAATCTACAAGGATATTGAGACATATTGTAAGTCCACCTGTTGATCTGTATCAGTAGCAAGTTAGGTAATCTGGTTCTGCACAAGGATGCTGAGGACAAGCCACATTATAATGATGTGTTAAATGGAAATTAAAGAAGAGAAAAAAAGAGGAAGTGGTGATAAAAACTGCTGAAGGAATGAAGGAAAAGAAAGTAAACCTGAGACTGATTTATGTTGCTGATTATGTGCCTTTATAAGTCTCCTGATATAAGATTTTGATCTAGTTTAACAATGTGAAAGTTAATAGTGCTTTGCCAGTGCTGCTGAAATTATGTTCAAGAATTAATTATCACAAGGTATTGTCTTACACAAGATGTGTAACATTGCAAAGTTGTTTAAGCTGTAGATTGTAAACAAGGGTCGGGGACTGAAAAGAAAATGTAGAGTATAATCAAAACAATTTAGCAGCATAGCACTGCATATGTAGGACAAATAAATACACTGGGGTTACTTTGCACTATATTGATTTACATAATTTGAATATCATGTTTTTTTCCTCATTTTTTAATGCTCTAGTTTGTGTAAATATGATAGTTTTGATGATAACCTTTTGAAAATCATCAGGAGTGTGAATCTTTAGATGTGTTTTCTCAGAGAGAACGTGACTTTATTTAACTATTTTGTTGAGGAAAATGAGGAACCTAAGATAATTATTATTATTGTTTTTTCTCTCTCTCTCCATTTTTATGGAATTAAAGAACATTACAAAGTAGATCTGTACATGATTTTAACATATTTTAATATAGTATTAAAACATTTGGTTGATCACTTGTATTAGATGTCAATCTCTTGAAATGCTTTCAGTCTTGATGCAATCTGAGGTGTCACAACTCAAGTCTCAATTTACTCAAGTTTGATGTTTAGGTTTTAGGTTAAGTAAAGATATGATCCGGGTTTACATCACAAACTCCCTCACAAGAGCTTGGACGGTGCCTTCTTTCCAAGGATTTTGGTAGTGGCAGGGAGGGACTATTACCCTTGGTGGATGCCCTTCCAAACCGGCAGGAATTGAATTCTCACACTGGGTGACCAACCCTCAAGGTCCCCCAGCCGCAGGCATTACCGCTGTACTATGGCAGCCGCTGTAGATTAAATGAACCAAACTTCATATTTTGCATTAGCAGGGAGCAAGTGTCTGAGTTTGATACATTTATTGGAAAAGGTGAATAACAACACAAGGTATGTTATTGACATGTTTCAATGAACTCTTTATCAGTATTGCACACCATAATTCAATGGAGATTTAATCAACACGCGTCATTTACATTGGTCTTTTAGTCAAATTACTCGTTCTCATCTGTAACTCTTTCTACATTTGTCATAACGAACCCGAGTGACTGTAACTTGTTTGTGATTGTTTGTATAGGTTCTGAGCTCTCAATACAGTCGTGCAATGTAATCTAGGTATATATCCTGTCCTGAGATGAGGAATCACAAAGAAAGATCTTTTACTCAGCGTAGAAAACTGTGATAGTTGTTTAGTAATTTTTTTGTTAGGTTTCAAGATATATATATAAATAGGTTTTTAGTTATGGAAAAATCTGTAATAATTTTATACATTTTATAAATATGCTGGTCTATATAGAGAAAAATTATATGAATTTATATAGAGGACACACTACCTATATGTATATATCTTAACAAATTATACACAAAGAGAAAACAGCTGAATGTTTGATTGAATTACCTCCTTATGATTTTTTGTCTGTGAAAATTCTTTTCAAGTTGATAAATCACTTTTTATTCCCTGAGTAACAATACCAGCTTTTTCAGTAATTTCCATTTAAAAATTTGTTCAACAAATGAACTCATTTTTTGGGCTTCATATGGAGAGTATGGTGCATGTGTAAAGGCTTGTGTATGATGGAGAAAGGAACAAGAATATAAAATTTATTATATATTCAAACTGGAAAAAGAAAGATTATTTGAGTTCTTTCACTAATTTCTTGGAGCAATATCAGGACT